AGCAGGTGCGTCCTGATAGAAGACTAAGCACGGATTTCTGTTCAGTTCTCATGGGGGTTCTGAAATTCAGAGATACGTACTCATTTCTCTTTCTTCTCTGTGTTACAGGACTGAAATGTTCCAATTTATGCTCCGGGTGTATGGGCCTTTCATGCCTCAATACTGAGGTGCAAGCTGAGGAAGAATCGCACTTCGACGACAGTATGGACCCCGATGTCTAAACTACTCTGCATTCGGATGATGACACTGCTCTTGAGGCGAACGATGAAATGTAGATAGAATTAAGTGATTAAAATGTTGAATTGTAAATAAGAAAATACGTATGCTTCCAGAATTTCTTAAACTAACGTTCAAATCGGCTATCCTATGGTACAATAAGTGAGAAGTATGTCTTTCATCAATTTAGGCTTCCATAACAACCATAAGTACAAAAACTTATCAAATAACTTAATATTAGACTACTCAAAAAAACGCTGTAGGCTAACGGTTAGGCCTGGGCTAACTTGCAAATAAGCTATCGTGTAGGAAATTTTACGAGGAACATTTTTTGTTTCAAAAGTTTTTCTCTAACCCTGCTACATTTCGAGATATTAACGAAAAACTGATTTCGGGGGGCAAAAACGTGCCACAGCTCGACGAGCGGCGCAGTTGGGGGTCTGGACTTTTAGTACGTTATTCAGGACAACTAACCTGAGACATTTCAACAAAGTCCAGCTTTCCCCCCCAAAATGTTTAGACCGATGCACTTACCGCCTGTACTATTGAAAGCCACTCATAACTTTAAGGAAGTAACGCGAACATGCGTTTTGTGCTGCTCTGCTTCACGGGGTTCACCCACAAAGCCCAATTTAGTCACTTCTTCCCTAAGCCATGGTCTAAATAGGAACCAAAATTGACGCCAAATGTTTTTGAGGTCGTGCCCGGGGATTTACCCGAGAAATGAACACCTTAGGAGATAGCGTTAGGACGGCCAAAGAGTACTCGGAATCTTTTTTACCCTAATGTCAATTCAACATATACTGCCCGCCATAAGTACCTTAACATCAAATCTACTTTGATTAATTGAGATGAAATTTTCAAGACAGTTGTATTTATTCGCTAATAATAATAAATAATGCTTCCATAGCCTTTCCGTTCGCCGGATCGATCACCAATTGAACACGTGTAGGATACGATGGGTCGAAGGGTAAATGCTTTACAACCACCTGCAAACAGTTTAGATGATCTTCGAATGCGTCTTTTTTAGCGCATTTCCACAAAAATAAAAAAAAATGCGCTATTGTGGCCACTTAGTCCGTCCGTCCGTCCGTCCGCTCTTTTTGCGACGCTACAAGTTCTTTATCTTAAGAGCTATTGTTCTACTTTTTTCGCTGTTTGGTTCGTTATAGTGTCGAGTCTTGTACCAAGGAAGGAATTTTTTCTGTACCGCTTACAAAAAAAGTTATTGTAAAAAAAACAAAAAACCGTTTTTTACATGTTCCATAATTTTACACTTTTGCCGTTTATTAACGATCCTAGAGATCGTTTATAATTTTGCATTGCTATCTGTCGCCTGCCGGTTGGTCTGTCCGTCTGTTTCTTTGTCTGTCTGTCCATCTATCTGTCCGTGTGAACGATAACTTTGTTTAGAAATGTTCGATCGCTTTTACATCTCCGTTAGTTATGAACTGAATTGCATGAAATTCAATATGGGCATAGCTTTAGCCATATAATACGCAATGCCAAAAGTTGAATCGAATCGATTCAAAATTCACAGTGCCCTTTTCGCATCTCGACCATTTATAAACCGAATTGCAAACTTTTTTACTTATAAAAGTATTTGAATGAAATTTGATACATAGGCACTTGGAATAAAGGAAAATCAAACGCCATTTCAAAATTTGGTTTTGCGCATGCGCAGTGCCAACTTTTTTATTTATGGAAGAATTTAAACGAAATTTGATACATAGGCCCTTGGAATAAAGGAAAATCAAACGCCAATTTCAAAATTTGGTTTTGCGCATGCGCAGTGCCAACTTTTTTATTTATGGAAGAATTTAAACGAAATTTGATACATAGGCACTTCGAATAAAGGAAAATCAAACGCCAGTTTCAAAATTTGGCTTTGCGCATGCGCAGTGCCAACTTTTTTATTTATGGAAGAATTTAAATGAAATGTGATATATGTATGCACTTGGAATAAAGGAAAATCTAGCGGTAGTTTCAAAATTTTATTTTGCGCATGCGCAGTGCCAACTTTTTTATCTATGGAACCATTTAAGTGAAATTTGATACTTAGGCGCTTGGAACAAAGGAAAATCTAACATTAGTTTTAAAATTTAGGTTTGCGCATGCGCAGTTCCCACTTTCTTATTTAGAAAAGCATTGAAATGAAATTCTTCTCATAAACTGAAATTGAAGTAGCACGTCAACAATGGATTGCCCATGTGCAACGCTATCTTTCATATTTGTGGCCGGATTTTTACGATTTTAACAGAAGTTGCATCTTACAAATGGGAAATGAATGCAAGTGGAAATGCGCTTTATGTAAATCGTTTACGATTACTTTTTAACTTGTTAAAATCTTGGGACAGTATGTCACACGCTAGCATCGATTCGCGAATTTCAATTGTGCCCAGGGGAGTAGCTGAAAGCGAAGAAAGAGTGGATGATGTACACATTATTAGTGTTGTTTGAATATATTGTAAGTAATTGTATCATGTTGAAGTTTTCATCGTTTCATATTTCGGAATAAATACAACTGCCCTAAAAATTTCATCAAAATTGATCAAAGTACACTAGGTGTTCAGGTATTTATGGCGGGCAGTATATCTTAAATTGTATCAAAATCGGATGAATACTGTAGGAGATAGCATTAGTTTGCTAAAACGGTAACGCTACTCTTAAAAAAATGACAAATTATGCATTTCAAAATTTACAAGAAAGAAAAGCAAAGCGTTGAAACGAGCACGCATGCAAAACAATAATGGTTCTGTACGTACCTACATATATAATTAAAGAACCTACAACAACCAATAATTGTGGTGGTAGTTGATGTACAAGGTTTTAAAACTTCAACAAACTGGTTTTCGCCAAAAGAGCTTGAAATTTATAATGGAAAACCGTTGGCCCACTTCCTCCATTTCCTTGGACTAGCTTAGATAGTGAGTTTCAACATCAAGCTAATTGGCTAACCCGTAACCATCATGGAATTAAATAGGAGAATGACCATACACCATCTCAACTTTCCCGTCATACCTTCCCATTTAATATCAACATTAGGTCAAGTCAAAGGAGATAAGGGAGATTTAATCCGAAAAGCTCTATCGCGGACAGTTATGAGGTAGAAGAAGAACCAGTTAGGTATTTCCAAGGTCATTCTAATTTTGCAAGGATAACTTAAATTGACTCGCTTTGCTTTTGCTTTGTTCGCACGCATCTATAGATTGCAATAATAGTGCATCATAAAAACAAGGTCACTCCTTAGTTGCTAAACCGAAAAATCCCATTAACCAATGTCATCGAATGCGTTAAAAAAATTTACAAGGTTATAGGTATTCCCAGGATCATTCGATCCTGCAAGGTTAACTTGTTTTCCGAATGCGTTTCCACAGTTAGTATATTTGGTTGCCTTCCTTCTCTCGTATCATCTTCCAAAGTTTACGTAATATTATGATATTACGGTGCATCTCTGTCACGTGTGTGTGTGAGTATATTCAAACACGAACTAGAAAAACGTTACATCTAAGTACAGAACCCTTCTAATTTTGCGTGCTCGCTCGCTTTAGCGCTTTGCTTTTCTTCTTCATTGTAAAATTTGAAATGCGTAATTTGTCATTTATTAAGAAAAGCGGTGACCTTTTAGGAACCTGGCTCTTCTAAGGTATTCATCCGATTTAATATATTTTGAATTGAAATTAAGCAAAATATTAAATAAATAATAAATATTATAGTATGTACATGTATAACCTGAACTAAACATATTTTTTAGCTTAATCGATGAATGACAAAGTAGTCTTGAGGTTAAAACACCGAAATGGCACCCCATGTTCCCTCAGATGTGGATAAAGTGTGTCCTGCATTATAGATATGTTTTTCACTGGCCTATCGTATTTAAATAGTCACATTTCAGAATGCTTACTGAAACATTTACTATTTGAAGGATGATCTATTGACTAAGAAGAAATCCATTAATCATTTCAAATAAACTCTAGAAAATATAGTATTATCATTGAATAAAGAAACTGAAATGGTATTATCGATGGTTTACTAAATATCTCATCTTCCGGGTTCATCTTCTTTGGTATTGGAATTCGAAGGATTCAAGATAGATGCCTTCCCCATTTTCTGCCTTCAGTAAATAACACTTTTAGATGGTCTAAGAACTTTGCCGTGTAGGAGAAGAAATTGTATCTCATAAGCAACTGGTTTAACACACAACAATAGAAAACGACCAGCACAAGTTGCTCTTATCTCACGGCAAAAAGATCTTCTACTTTGAAATGCAGTACGTATGTACGAAAGAAAGGAACAAACACACACCTTTGAAAGAAACATGCAGGTTGTCGTTGTCGATTCCTCACACAACGTATCATCCTCGGTGTCATCCGAGAGACTCAAAGACAAGTGTCTCTCCTTTGATTGAATTTTTTATAATAATTAAACCCTAGTCATGAATTTATTGTAGTAATTTGATTAACCATCAAACCAAAATAAAGGACAAAACCTATTAACATAAATATTAGGTAAGATTATATTAATAGTAGTTTAGTTTAATAAAACATCAGATTCTGTACTAGAAGGACTACCTCTAAAGTTAACATTCAATCACATAGCAGCACTTACAATGTAAAAGACTTCAAAGGTAAGGCAGAAAAAGCGCTAGATATTCTCTAATTCAATAGTATTCAGGCATTTATTCCTAAATAGCATCCAATCGAAAATCCACTCATTATAGCCATTCACAGAGTCGCTTAAAGAGGTTCTACGCAAACATAGTAAGAAGCAAACGATAGCAGCCACTACTCGTTCTTTTCTTTATTTGAAAAACTCACCCTGGACTGAGGAAGACAGAGCTCCTCGGCACCCGCAATAGCCCCTCCGTCACACTGTAACAACAGGACTCAATCAGCCCTTTTCACAATACAAAGACACCCACAATTGAGTTCCTTTCAGCCGCTAATAATCCTAAAATAAAATACTACACGCATTTACAAGGGCTTACTTTTCCCCTTTTATTTCGTTTTCATGTGAAATTGATTGTGAACTTAGCAAAGTACGTGCGGGTGGAAAAAAGTTTACTTTGCAGTTATAGTAGCGAATCGAAAATGAGTAACGGAGAAAATAATCTCCCCTGCAAATATTTAAATATTTTACGATGAAGTAAGTTTATTCATATATTCTTATAATAGGTTTGCACTTCAGCACCGTATGTCTCTAGTTTTAGGCCTTTAGGGTTAGAAGAAGAACACTTCAAATGCAACTATGAAATTAGGAAAATTAAAACTTTTTTATTGGTCCATTTCTGATGTGCGTTAGACATTATGTTAAATTGCAATTTGTTAGAGATAGGTAGGTAGTTTAAATTTAGCGAAGTTTCGTATTTTGATGCTTAACAAAATGCAGTTTTGACACTAAAAAAATTCCGACTACTTTCGGAGATATTCGGAAAAAAACGAAATTTTGCAAAATTGATTTTATTTTTTACTGAAGCTATTTAAAAAGGTATTTCGAAATAAATGACACATTATTATGGCCACTTTTTTCCCTCTACAAGATGTTACTTTTAAATTTGAGATTTCGTCTCCAGTCAACCATCATCAACTTTGTTTTAGCATTGGAAATGCTTATGTTTTGTGTATGGGTGTGAAGTTACCAGTTTCGTCAAGCAGAAAGAAGACAGTGGTGTCGCGTCAAGTGTTGATTGTACCGTACTCGGCCGCAATCAGTAGATTAAAGAAAAGAGCATCTTAGGATGAGGTTGTTATTCAGAAAATGTACGTTTGCGACAGGTGCGAGCTTGCGAACGAGTGGAGCAAGTGATCCCGGGCGAATAAGGCTTATTTGTGTTTTCAAATGGCGTTATACGGTTAGCATTTCCAATGTTACCGATGGTTGCATGGATTATGCGAAATCTGTAAATTTTTTCTTTTGGAATTAATTTTTACTTATTGTGTCATTTAATAGAGCATTTTTTTCTGATTTAAAAATTGTAAATCACTATCTTTTAATCAGAAGCACTATTGATTCGTAAAAACGCAAATAACTACGTATGTACACTACCCAACGCTAAGTTTTCTAAGCAAAAAAGAAGATATTAAAAAAATTGTGATGTTTGCATTTTTGAAATCAGAAAAAATTCTCTATTAAATGGCACATAAAGTAAAAATTACTTACATAAGAAAAAACAAAGTTGATGATGGTTAACCGGAGACGAGACGTCGGATTTAAAATTTAAAACTAGCATCTTATAGAAGGAAAAAAGTGACCATAATAATGTGTTATTTATTTTGAAAAAATTTTTTAAATAACCGGATATCTCCGAAGGTAGTCGGAATTTTTTCAGTTTCAAAACTCCATTTTGAGATGGCAAGACGTCTATCGTGCAGTTTTTCCTAAACGCATTTTTGACTCTTGGTTTAAGTACAGTAGACTCTTAGTAATCTGGAATATATTGGAACGAGGTACTGCCGCATTAGTGAAAATACTGGATTACTGGAAGGTCATCAATAAAATCACTTATAGGCACCAAAGAAATGTTTTATTGTCCTAGAACAACTAATAAAAAGGATTTTAGAATAAAAAATGACATAATCAAAAACGTAGTACTCTACGCGAGGAACGTCCCAGATCAATACTCGGTACCGCACATAGAAGATTTCTCTCAAAGCTTACATGTGAATGGAATATTGCCCATTCCTCCTGGAACACCCTGTATATATTTTCAAAACGTACAAAACGAAAGAACAAGAAGGAAAAGTTGCCTTTGCAATCTTCTACTTTCTTTCTTACCCAATTTCCGCAGTGAAATCTACAAACCTGGTACAGCACAATGTACTTTCTCAGTAGAATATTACATAATCACCCTGCTGTTTACGTACACTGACGCATGTTAATCGAAGGTACAAAGTGATTCACATCATATTTAAATGGATTTAGTGAATACACGCAATTATTTTAATTTTATGTAGTTATACCATCCTTGATGTGTATAAACACATCAATCAGCATCGTGGGATTGGTTACGAACCGTTCAGTCCGTAAAACGACCCAAAAATCGATTGCTTTCAAACTTTGAATAATTTATAAATTGTATTTGCACAAAATGAAGAGATTTGCAATGAGACACTAAAAATCGAGTACACACGAAATGTGCGAGCTTAGAAGGAAGATCGTATTCTTATTTGAGAGCAAGTTGAAGCAAAAGATGGTGATGGCCAACTCGCTTGTAAAGTTTGGTCTATTACACATTAAAACTTCTCGGAAACGGTTTGGAAATACTTTCTTTTTTGATTAAAATTCATGGCTAAAGCCTCAGGCTCCTCCACCAGCATTACTCATACGTCCGTTTTATCAAAGCTGCGATATTGACAGTTCTCCGTTTCGTAAACTTGCGTAAAATAAAATGGATGCGGTTCCTTAACGTGGATTCCTGTTCGTATTCAGTTTCCATTGGATAATTTTGACCCAGGAAATACCATTTAACCGTTTAACTCAAAATCCACAGAACTATACCTAAGCGCGAATATCTTGCTTAAAACCCAACGTGATCTCTATGGCATCTTTTGCAGTTTCTCGCAATCCAATCGAATTTTGTAGGACTTGAATTTACTTATTTACAAAGTTCCGTTTACCGCTTTCGTTTCACATAATACGGAATCAATACTAGTAACAGCACCGAGACTTGCTTAAAACGAGATATCATAATTGCCGTTTGCTTGTACTCGTAGATAATTGCTTGCCAGTCGAGTTGAACATCGATCCATCAATTTACCATTATGACTGGTTTTCGAATAAACGGTTTTACAACTCCCATAATATTGGAATTATATGTACAAAGTTCGCTATACGTACGCCGTTTGTTACGTAATACGATTTCAAATTTCAATTAAGTCGAGTTATTGTGCACAGAATGGAGTCAATTGCTGATATTTTTACAACCAAACAAATTAAATGTTCAATACATTGTAAGTAATTAGGAAAAATAACCAAGCAAGAACGTCCACGAAAGTTTATTACTCGGTGTATTGATTTTTAATAAAATCCCTGGCAACATAGTTATTTACAAACGGGTAAATTTATTGTATTTTTCGTGCTCAAGATAAACACATTATGCTCAATCTAATTTTCTAATAAAAAAGATTATACAGTTTCTCAGCAGGTATGTAATATATTATCTACCTTAGAAATACGTACCATTTCTTAGATTTATGTGGAAATGTATTTTCTATTGTATTAAAGTTACATTGAACGATTAAATACCCACATTATTTTATTTACTCTTTATTAGACATATGGTAGCCGCCTTTTGTATTTGGGGTAATTGAATCCACAGCACATTTACGAAGGCGAGTGCGTATTTGAACAATTTGATTAAGTTTATGAAGCTATCCACGACAGTGGTACTACTTTATTACTTCTAACATATAACAATGATATAACCGTTATATGATAATCTGTCAAAATCATCTGGAATTTAACCACTGTCTGTTCTTGGGAGAATAAGATCACAATGAGTAATAATGAGCCACAATGCGGTTAGAATCAGTTTACTTTTATTTGTATTTTAATCAATAAACACGTTAATCATTCGTTAGTGTCGATATTATTTCGACATCCCTTTTATACAAAAAGCATAGCAAGCAATTATCAAATACAGTCCACATAAATATCGAGGTTTCGCTTTACACGTAACAATGTGGTTTCCTCAAAGTCCCCGCTTCTGGAAGGTGAGCTTAAGGAGAGGGGGGGGGGCAGAGGTTGCTAATTACATTTTATATAAAATTGTTTCCAAAACACATTTGTGGAATTTTCAACAGTTTTCGAGCTATACCTTATTGAACATCGATAATTTTCAAGAAATTAATTTATACCCAACTCCTTTTGTAAAACATTTGCTTCTAATTCCTCCAACGATCGTTTTTCTGAAAAATTCTTAGACACGAACTTATAGAGCATTAAATTTCTTTTAATATGCTGTAATTTGTGCTACTTTATCTTCAATTAATCAAAAGCTATAGAATAGAACTCAATTTCGATGTTCCTCTAGAAATGACTATGTTGACACTGTCACATACAGATTTATAATATGTGCTTTTATTTTCAAAATGTAAAAGCTAATTTCTTGAATTGCCAATGGTGTTCGAGGTAGATATAGGTACGTCAATGAATACCGATAATTTTTGAAAGCGTAAGATTTTTTCGCGTGCGGATAAATCTGCGCATTTTTACAAATTTATTTTGTAAAAAAAGTAGCTTTTAGTCTCACTGTGGCCGAGTGGTTAATTGGCTGGCAGCAAATGCGGACCCGTAGAAAACCGATTGTAGAAAGACGAGGAGTGTACGTGTACCTACAGGGGCCGTGTCATTAACAACTTTAAGGATGGGACTACATGATGTGGGGTCGGTGACACCTGGGCGTTACCTTCGAACGTGTTATACTAACTATATTATATGTATACTATATTTTCCTTTTTTCTACAGCTGGGTTTGATTTTTTCAAATTGGTGTCGTCGGAAAGATCTTGTAAACGCGCTCAACTCCTGCGTGGCGGAATTTTACTTTTTTTCCTAGGGGCGAAATTAACCACCTTTTGCAAGGTGCGCGTCTTAGAGGAGTATCGACTTCAGGCGGTATCTTCCGAATTTTGTCACTCGGTTTAAAGTTTCTTAAATAATTGAAATATATGGCTCTTAATTTTCAAGTTGTTCACTCGAATTTCGTGAAAGAGAATGATTTATTTTGGAAATTTCTGAAGAACCATTATATTCGGAGAGGTTGTACACTGGTTTTTAATGGGTGTACCGACACACCGTCGGTCCGCAAGAAAAGTGACATATAAAGTCAAAAATAGTAAATTTTCGGGAGAAGCAATTTAAGTTTTGTTAAA